GGCAGCCCCTCCTCTTCCTCCTCCCTCCTCCTCTTCCTCTCCCTCGCAGCCTCGCTCTCCTCTCCCGGCCAGCTGCCTTCAGCGGAGGGGGCGAGAAGAGCGCAGAGCCCTCAGCCGCCCTTCTCCCTCCCCGCCGGCGACAAGCGATGGGCGACATCCCCGGCCTCGTGAAAATCAGCGTCTCCCTCAAAATCCAGCCCAACGACGGGGCGGTGTATTTCAAGGTGGACGGGCAACGCTTCGGCCAGAACCGCACCATCAAGCTGCTGACTGGGGCCAAGTACAAGATCGAGGTGGCCCTCCGGCCAGGCACCGTCCAGGCCACGTAAGTGCAGCCTCTCCTGCTCGGGGAGCCTCCCCCGGCGCTCCGCTTTATTTTTAGAGGTTTAATATTTTTTCCTGGCAGGCTGACAGCACGGGGTTCCCGTGATTTCTCCCTCTCCACGCCCTTTTGCTTTGGTGGCCCTCTTTTCTAGGTCCCTGGCCAGCTGTTCCCACTGCTTTGCCCGGCTGGCTCAGGAAAGAGGCCGCGTTTTGGAGTCTCTTCCTTCCCTTTCCCTCTCCCTCCCCACCTTCTCCCGGAGCTCTTTCAAGCCCAGCTCCTTTTCTCCCTCCTTCCCTGCGGTTTGCCCTAGAGGCAGAGGGAAGAGGCCCCTCCGGCCCTGCACGTCAGGGACACACCATGCCCAAACCTTACTGCAGCATGGCAAAGCAGAGACCGGGATCAGGGAGGACGCAGATGAGGACATCAGCCCTAGAGAAAGGATTCAACTAACCCATCCCCAGCTACTGGAGATTGGACCCCTCACCCCCTTTCCTTTCTACACTGTCCCTGGGTGACTGCAGAGCCCTGACATTTTTCAGGAGCCTCAGTGAGTCAGCAGCACCTGCAGGTCTGCTAAAATTCCTGAAGCATCCTCCAAGCACAAAGGCTTCCAGGCTGCAAGCCCAAGCGCTGGCTCCAAGCTGCGAGGGAAGGGGCCATGCAGGGCTGCTAAAAGGCTGAATCCCATCTCTCTGCAGGACAATGGGCATCGGGGGCGTCAATGTCCCACTGGAGGAGAAATCGAGGGATGCACAGGTGGCCTCTTACACGGGGATCTATGACACGGAAGGGGTGCCCCATACCAAGAGCGGGGAGAGACAGCCCATCCAGGTCAACATGCAGGTATGTGGTTCTCTGCACGGTGGGAGCCTGGCATGGGAAGACAAGGGAGGGCAGCAGGGGGCTGACTCTCAGAAAAAGGTGTGGAGGTGAAAATCCTATCACAGCTGCTGCCCTTCTCTTTGCTTTGCACCAGGAAGACTGCTGGTCAGAGCGTAGCTGGAAAACACAAGCCCTGCGTCCCAAGGGGAAGCCAAGAGAGCAGCAAGGGCCAGGAAGCAGCAGGGGGGGATTTCTAGAGACCTGCAAAGCCCTTTGGGGTGCTGCAGCAGAAAGAAATGCAAGCTGAACCTCTCACCTTTTCTGCAGGACATATTACAGACTTCAGGCAACTCCCACCATGGTCCCTGGCTGGGAATCCCAACCCCAAGCCCCCTTTTGCCTGCCAGCACTGCCAGGGGTTCTGGCGCAGAGCGTGCCCCAAGCACAAGGGGTGACTACTCTCCCCTTCCATCTGTCATCTGTAGGATGCCTGAGAACCTGCCAGAGGCTGAAAGCATGTGCCCCCCTGCCTCCACCCCCCCCAGCTGTCTTCTCCCTTTCCCCATACTCTTCCATTATCACATTATCTCTGCATCCACAAACCTAAGTTCTTACTCAAGTGCCTCCTCACACCAACCTTAAAGAGAAGCTCCAAGGGTCAGAATCACTATACGCCATGACCCCAAAGTAAGATGACAAAAGCTCCAGCCTGTAAGACAGCAGAGCTGACAGAAGACAGGAAGAGCAGCAGGCACATTTGCACAGCACTCTTTGGGTGGTGTGCTCGGGGTGCAGAGGAAGACTTGTTCTGTTCTGGCCTCGGTTTGGTTGGTTGGGGTTTTTTTCCACCCCCTCTCCTGATTACAGTTGTGAGGTTTCTGCTGTTTATTCTATGCTTCCTGTACCAGAAAGGGGAAACAGGGCAGTAAACCATCTTCATCTGAAGCTCTCCTAAGGGTTTGTTCCAAGTTACATAAGTTTAGGACCTTGCCAAGCCCACCAGATTTCAGCTTTTTCTCACATTTGTTCACTGCGTGTAAGATTTCATCTTGATCTTTATCTTGACTATTTTTTTCTGGAATCATCACTTAGCGTGGCAATCCCCCTCTGAATAAGAACCCTAACATCTCCATTTGGCATTTCTAATAATGCGTAACAATTTTGGAGACCCACATCACATTAACAGTTACCACTTCATAATCCTAGGTTAGTAGGACTACCCTGAAGTATTTGTCCACATTTATCGTTTTTCTATACAGTCAACTCCTTTTAACACTCAGGAAAACCAAACACCCAGTAGGACTTCTCAACTGGCAGAAGTGGGTTGCTGGATGCCAGAGTTCAGTATTGCAGTTATATTTCACAATGTCCTTATACCAAGAGGTGAAGGGACAGCGCTCCCAAAAAACCAGCTGCTTTGACTAAGGCATTGCTATTTTGATAGCCACCATTACCCTTAAGCATAGCACTGATGTGAACTCTGAAAATCTGGAAGTTTAACTTTTCTCGTGGAGAAAACCAAGTCAAATCACAAATGAAGTGATTCAAAGAAATGCAAGGAGGGTCTGACTTTCAGATACAAGCTCTGAGATGGTTTGTCGCAGCATCAGAATGAGTAGCCACAATATTTGTCCAAACAGTTGCTTTTACAAATCAAATTCTGGGATATTAACCACCAAGCTTACAGGATTCTCAAGCATTAAGCAGGTCCTCAACCCCTTTTAGGATTTCATCTTGATAGATAGGTTCTTAAGTACAGACTTAGGTGTCCACAATTGATACTTTTAACTATTAAATATAGGCAACTCAACAGGGATTTACATGTTTAACTCATCATTTAGCTGCTTAGCTAGACAGAGCCCTAGCAGATTTAGGGAACCAGCCTCAAATACCCCAGTCTGTAAACTGCTTCTGATACCTACTTCCTGAATCTTCAAAACTGGGCTTATTGCATAGAGCTTTAAATTTTCCTATTTCCTTCAACTATGAGGAACTTCTGCCTCCGCTCCCTTTTCTAGAACTGGCGGGATCCTGATGCATCCTAGGGAGATAAGGACACTAAGGCATAAAATCTGAACTCACATTAGAAATAGATCGTGAGGTCAGTCCTGCAGTTAAAAACTGGTCTGATGCTGCTAATCTAATCCCCAAAAGACAGAAGGTCCATAAAGGCCCATAAGAATTTATTACCTGGTTTAAAACTTTAAACAAATAATTCTTTGTGCTCCTACTTTAACTGGCTATTAGACATCTGACCTGTTACAGCCATAGCTTACACATGTAAAACAACAATCCTGTTTCTGAATTCCAGAATCTGAGGGTGCCTTTCTGTTATTTGAATGCTCAGTTACATGCACTATCCAGAAACTGCTAAACTGTCTAGCCAATGATGGAAACTAAGCTAGAAACCTCTCCTTGGCTCTCATTTTATCCTTGGTCAGACTAGACTAAGATTGAATAAAGAAGCTAGACCTCTATTCCCAGTAATAAATAGCCATCAAATCATCCCAGCATGCAAATTTGGAGTGATTAAGTAACTATTCACTCTTATAGCACTGGATGACAGAGAATAGCAGACAGGGAAATAGGCTTCTAAACCTCACCTACAAAGAGTAGGGCCATCCCTCCTCCCTGGGGAAGCCCCTGTACAGGCCCAGCGGAGGAGCCAGGATTCAGCTGCAGGAGCCACGGGAATTCAGGGGAGTTCTGAGGATGCAGAATGCTCATTACGCCACAAAGCTGCTGCATCCGCCAAGTACCAGGCTGGGGGTCACAGGGGCGCGCATGGTAGGAGAAAAGCTCTGCAATTAATTCTTTCCTTCTCCTGGAAATCCACAGCAGTCAAACTACTCAGGGTAGCTCAGCAAACTGGGTCATTGGAGGAAGATAGAATTAGTTTTCTTCCTCTGTCCTGTTGAAATTCAGATCCTCCAGACATTAATGAAATTAAATACTGCTCTTGTATCATATCACCTTCTGCAAATACTGTTAGAAATGCCTTTTCTTCCTCAGTTTCCAGACTGAGGGTGGCTGATGCTCCTCTCTGACTATTTCTCTGTGAGGATTGTGCACAGTAATATCCAATGTGCTTAACCTTTACTATCTTGCATTACAAGTGTATCAGGATTACTATCAAAGATGATTAATAAAAAAAACCCACCTTAATTAAGGTTTTAGTTGCTGGGAGGAATAAGATAGCCTGTACATCTGATTCTCTCTTTGTCAAAGGAATTAGCAGAAATATTTCAGCTACTCCTTTAACGTAACACTTAGAACTGGAGCCAAATAAAAACCTTTCACTGACAGCACACAGCAACTCCTGCTGTTGTCAAGGCTAAATTTAAGTTACCACAGTGGGCTGGGGGAAGGTTTAAAGCAACGTCCATTATGCAGCAGCAGCTTACAAACCGCATCGCGAATTAAAAATAAATAAATAGATGTCTTTCTGTGAAAACTGGATACAGAAGGCTCTGCTTGCAACTCAGGAAGAGTCACTGTGTACAAGGGCTTTCATACTGACTTTGCAAGTGTGATTATAATAGGCAGATGATCAAAGGTCAGCTCGCAGGCACATGATGGGAATGGAAAACAGTCAAGTGAAGAAGCTGTCATTGGAGTGAGTGGTGGAAATATTTAAAAGGAAAAAATGGTGAAGAACAGTGTCATTTAGTAGAGCTGAATCCACTATCTAGTATCTTCTAACAACATAATACAACCAACAAACCATACTACTGGGACCAACAACAATGCACATAGGCTTCACATCCACACTTTAGACTCTCTGGAAGGTCTCGGGGCACAGGAACTCAAATTTTAGATCACCATCATAACTGAAGTTGTGATATATCCTTGTAAGTGTCATTCATACAGCTTTTCTGATATTACAAGGGCTGACATTAGCAATGCCTTAAAAAAAAAGCGAGAGAATTTATTTTACAGAACTTAGTGTAGCTATAGTCCCATTCACTTCAAAGTTGCAATCAGACAACTTGCAGTCAATGTTTCGCCACCCCTTCACTGTATCAGACCCTCATCTGCTAACACGCGCTGATTATCTCCTTCCTAGCCTCTCTTACTCACATCTAAGTTTGAAAAGCTGCACTATCACAGTACAACTAGGAATTACAGAAATGCACAAAGGAGAACTTATTTCGCTTAAGTTTCATGCAAAATGTGGAACGGAAAGCCAGGGAAGGAGCAGGTGGTTTAATAGCAGCATGTCTCAATCAAGACACTGCAAACACAAGGCTACAACGTATACGGATATTAAAGATTTCAGATTGACCAACAGAAGGAATTTTCCCAGTAGTAGCTGCAGCCTCTAGGTATGGTATAAAGGCGAAGTGATGGCCTGTATCACTACAGATCACTGCTGCATGATACATCTATACAAGCCACTTTGAGATGACCATGCCAACTACTGCTGTATCTTAAGAGGGATTATAGCTTTGATTCTTGCTGTTAGTAACATTTATCCATAGAGGAACTTGAATATTTTTACTCCCTTGGCTTTCCCAGATAGAAGTGCGAGAGAACATGTACATGGAGAATCTGATCCTTCATGTTTTATGTATGGCTAAGCATAAAGGACTTTATGTCTGCTAGAGCAGGCTTTACAGATGTTTGATTTATTGACTTGAGGAACAATAACCCTTATATCCGCTGTTTTACATTTCGTAAGAGTGTTGTTCCTCACTAAGTGAGAGAAACCGACAAAATAATCAGCTCACTAACACTGATATTCCCTCTTCCTCACAGTTTAACGACATTGGCGTTTTTGAAACAGTCTGGCAAGTCAAATTCTACAACTACCACAAACGGGATCATTGCCAATGGGGAAACAGTTTTGGCAGTATTGAGTACGAATGCAAACCAAATGAAACGCGCAGTCTTATGTGGATCAATAAAGAGTCCTTCCACTGAAGAGATGTAAAACCAATACTGCTGGACAATCTCCCTAAAGAAAAAAAAAAAATCTACCTTTTTAAACCAGCAAAAAGCCTTAACAAAGGCATACCGTAACGTTGCTTTGTCCCATAAAGTTCCAACAACTACGTTGTATATACAGGTGGTGCCACGAAAATCTTTGCCTATTACTGTATTTTACGTTTACCATGGCATCTGCAACATTCTTTATCTGTCACCCTGAGAATACTGAAAAGTTCATGGTAAAGAGTATTTGATAGCTGGGTAGAAAGTCATACCATCATAATACTGTCATAAGTATTTGAATTATTCTCCACTAAATGGTTCTACTAGACCTAACAACTTTTGTGAAGTGTTTTGCTTTATTGCTTAGAATTTGGATGCAACATCACATTGGTGATTTCTGTGTTTATATTTGTGTTTGCTCCTAAAAATCCGTGTGCTTCTTCAAGCATTTTGTCGTACATGTCATCCCAGTGGACAGCAAAAAGAGCAAATTATGGATATATGTAGGTTTAGCTAAATGGCAGCTACTGCACTGTGGATATTGTGCTTTCATACCAGGGGATCTGGAAACTCATTCTCCCTTTTGTTAAGTGCTGTAAGATATTCCGTGAAGTTTGCTACTTCACCAAATCTCTCAAAATAAGATTCTTTGTTGTTAAGTTTTCCAGTCTCTGAAATAGCTTTAGGAAACGGTATAAAACATGCTAACCTGAATGAAGGAAAAGCAATAAAACAGTTGTGGTATCAAAGACATCTAACAACATGGCTAATATCTATCTTAAGGTCATATAGTATTCTTGAAAGATACAGCAGCCATACTTAATTCAGTTCTTAGAGTTCTGATTGTCATCTCCATTTTTGTTTTAATTACACATTGCTCAAATCAGTGAAATCCTACAAATCAACTTTTTCAAGCCTGACCACTGTATTATACCAAAATCGACAAGATTTCTGACCAACAAACACTCAGCAGTGTGAAAAGTGCAGAACCCCATGCATGTTTATACATGCACTGCACTCTTTCAAATAAAGATAAGCATGTAAGCATTTGCATGGTTATGACTAAAGGTGCTACATAAACACTAGATCAGTGTTTAACACACAGACAACAAAAACCAAACATCTTTTCTTTCAGTAAATAAAGCAGGGAAACAACTACACTGTCCCATCCCCAACTTGGGCTGAAGTAGGCTGTCAGTTCTTGCATATCTGTTACTCCCTTTGTGAATAATTTGTAAATTGTGTATGTAAATGGTAACCATGACTTTTGATCTTTGTAATAAAGGACTTAAAACAATTTCTTCTCTAGTATGACCATCTAAATGAGATGAAAAGACTGTATCAACAAGGGCAGTGGTTTTAGAAAATCAGACAGCAGAGGGTATGCAGTCAGTGCTTTCCAGTCCAAAGTATCTCATGTTCTTTACCCAAAGCTACTATTTCTAGGAAATACAGATCTAATGCGCTAGAATGCAGACAGTTAATGTGATAACATTCAATAGAGCCTACTGATAAAATTCAACTGCATTTTGTTGCACTAACATAGTGTGGAAAGCAGAGGTTTAAGACAGAAGCAAAATACCAAACAAATCTTTTCTTCCATTGAATTATTAATCAAAAAGCTTGACTGTTTGCAGATTTCTACAGACAGAAGAGCCTGACAGTAGCACTGATATAACACACCACTAGAACCGCGAGCTAGCCAGCTGCATCTCTACTCTGAGGACATATTACACAGGCAAAGTTCACTGCGATGAAATTCTAGAAATAATCCCGTGTTAACTTCTTGCCTAGGCTCTTTCTAGACTACAGAAAGAATTCTTCAAAATGAAAAAATTGAACTAAGCAATTTTAAATTAAATCTGTATTTCAGACAGAAGTATTATTGCCAGCACTTCAGCAGAAATTTCCAGATAACAGGCTTCAATGATACCAAACTTCCAGCTGTCACTCAATTCCATCTCTGCACTGCTAGAGTATGATTTTCTTCCGCGCCACTTGGCATACTTTGGTTTATTTTGTTTGAACACACAAACCAGAATCACAACAGCAAGAAATATGTAGGATTCTTAAATTAAAAGAGAAGCTTCTATACTACTAAAATTAAAATGTGTAAGACAGGCCCTTCACTTGAGTTCAGCTTCTATAAAATCCTTGGCCCATGATGTCCTAGCCCTCCAGCATTTAAGAAATGTTATAATGAATAAATCCAGCCTATCCTAGCACAGGAAGGCTATTATTCTCAGCTAGCTAGAAGCACACCTTTCCCAAGGTAAACACACATGTTCATGTTAATGCCAAACAGGGCTGCAGTTTTCTCATGTCCTAGCAAGCCCAGGACCGATTCAGCTGAAATTCAATTCAGAAAGTGGTCAAGAAAGAGCCTGCAGATGGAGTGAGTTGCTTTTAAAAGGAAGGAGAGAATAGCCAGACCAACTGTGTCTTGCATACCGTGTCCCAACACTGAACATTGCTGCCCAGGACCACAGCACCCCTTTCACACACAGCAGCAGTGATAAGAAGGATGAGGACTCATTAACAGCTTATCATGGGGAAGGTGTAAATGGCATTTATCAGCTGTTACATCCTTCACCAGAAATGTTATAATGAATAAATCCAGCCATCTAATCAGCCTAGATGAGGTGCAAACATACAGAAATGTGGCTTGGTGGCCTTGCATCGTTCCTAAATAGAAGATTATTCACGTGGTGTTTAAGTATCCATACCACCATGGATGACAGCACTGATGCTCTGTATATGTAAAGCAAAACAGTCCCATCGACTTCCCCTTGCTCAAAAAGTGCTTTGCTAACACAGCAAATATTTGCCCCCAGTAAAGAAGACGCAAGACTTGAGCGGTTCCCTAAAAGTAATTTTTTGAATTTCTTTCATCCAGGACAACTCTGGTAAATATTCATAAAGCTTGAGTCACTAAAAAACTGTTGCTGTGACAGTTTTATGCATTATTCAATCAGCAGCATTTAATCTCCAGACAAGTTTGTTCTTTACACAGCTTTTTCTAATTAGTATTCCCATTTGGGGACAAACCTCCAAAATTCAGAACAGGACACAATACACGAAGCTTAAATATATATTCATTTCTATCCGTTACAATGTCAGAAAATGCTGACAACGTGTCAAACCAGCTGAAACCACAAAGCACTCATATCTGAAGGTTTTATATGAGAAGTCAAGATTTTTCTCAGGAAGTGTCCAGCTTACATTTTCATAATCAAGACAAACAAATACACCAAATTTTTCAGAGTCACTTTTTCATAATTAGGTAGCAGTTAGCGCTTTTGGACTGCTGAGTAAAAGGACCCAAGAGCAAGTTATTAGTCATGATTATTACAGTTGTGATCCTGCATAGGACTTGCATTAGATCATTAGAGTTTGCACAAGGCTTTCTGTTTAACACAGCTACTACAGGCTTTGGTGCATCCTACCACCTGACTGTATCTAAAAAAGAAATTATACTGCTAAAGTCTCCATGCCCTACTAACACAAGTTAGGAAGGTTTCACTGGCTTCAGCTGAGGCTCTGACCATTCATTTACAGATGCAGAGTGACCCTTGGTGATCCCAGACTAGCAGAGTATCAGAAAACCTCGTTAATTCCATTCCTCCTATAAAAGATATGAACAGAACTTCTGTACAATTAAGCTGTAAGTTCTGTAATACAAGGCTTTTACATGCCAGCAGAGGTTGGTTTCCATTTGGTTACCAGCACCTGCCTCACTTGCATATGTAAAATTGAGGCATGTGCTATGTTGAACAGTTCTATTCTTCTAGAGTCTCGGAGTAAACCTTTGATTAAATAATAACATGGTACATTGTAAATACTAACCTCTTCCTGAGATCTGAAACAAGTGCTGTGGCTTTCAGAATCCGAAGCATTGAGCATTGCCTTAACAGCTGTGTCAACCCTGAAGCACAAAGCAACAGTATGAGTCTTGCAACATTCATGTTTTCCCTTAGCTCTACAAAGCTCACAAGCCTACGATTGGAAAGTCCCTTCACTGCAGCTAATCCAGATCTTTGGCTAGGAGAGACAGGCAGTCCTGCCCATTGGCCTTCCCTGCTGCACGCTTGGCAGCTTTCACCAGCATTCCTTGGACTGCTTCCTCTTCCCCTCTCCCTAAGACCAGGATTTAGGCTTCAAATCGCTGTGAGCCCTGGCTTTCAGCCTTAGGAAGACAAGGCTGCATCAGCCCAGGAAGAGCCAAACCACTCCTCCCTGCATTGTCTTCGCTGTCCCTATCTCAAAGTTGTTGATTATTTCTCTTGTTAATGGACACAGCTCAGTTCAGTGCACTCAGGAAGGATAATCTGATGCCTGACCTTATACATTAAATATAACCTTCTCTGCCTCTTCCTGCAGAAGAAATTCACAGGGATTCCAACTGTATCCCAACTATAAATAAGAAGAAAATGACCAGGTACCAAAAAAATAAAGAAGCTGGACTACAGAAAGCACTATAGTCAGATGGTCTATAAAAGATGGTCCTAAAGCACAGATGGTCAGCGGTGGAGGTCCTGCAGCCTCTGCCATTACAGCACCAGAGAACTCAAATGACTACATAGATTGCTTCCCACAGTGCTCTAACTCTCACTGAACTTCTCTGTATAGTAAGATATACACAACTGAAGAATCATAAGCTTCTGCGAGTTCTGCAATCTCCACTGCAACCACTGGAGTTTGTAATCTTTTGGCCTGCAGTAAGTTACCCCACTCAGGTATGAGTACATAGATACAAAGAGATCTCCATGGGAGACAAGGCTTAAATGCAATAATGGCTTTTCCATCAATGTTGATGCCCAATATCTCAAACTGAAAAAATAATTCATAAACAGCACCCCTGCATTGATGAAGAGTAAAGCTTTGATATTCTGTTGTGCCTCATTTGGACAAACTTGCGTCTCAATGCTACCATATACAAGTGCTTCATATGCTACACATAAGGCCTTTGTTTCCCTCCCCCAGAGGGCAGACACTCTACTCTCTTTAGCCCAAATAGCAAGGAACAGCCTGGTATCCCATCTGATGACTTCTGCAGCCTTTGAACAACCTTGAGAGAAGCGATAATCAGTTGACTGTGATGAAGGCAGCACAGGCAAGAACCATATGAGTGTGTTGGAGGTAAGGTGGACCTTCTGCCCATTCTCAGTATGGTAACTGCAAGGTCAGGTACCATCCTGCTGTTATGGGAGTGGCTGGGATAACGTCGTCGCTAATATCTACATTAAGCTACAGCGTATGTGCTACAGGGACCAAATGTTCTCAGAAGCTTGAACTGAATCACGATAAGTTTAATGTGAACCCCAGAGGACTTTGTCTGCAGAGAAATGGCAGTGACATGCAAATAATATCACAACACATACCATTTTCTGACTATGA